GAACAAATTAACATGTTGGAATTGCTTTCTGTGATTGGTACACGATGTGTCACATGACAGAAATAAATAGCCAATTAGAAGGGCGATTACAAACAAATATGATTATTAGCAATCGTGATATATTACCATTTTTCTCTATGTATGTAAATAGTCTTAAAGCGGAGGAGTCGTCACCTACGCATGCATTAGGTGGCTATAGCGTGTCATTGTTTACAAACAAGCGTCTACCCATGAGTCTTTGCGTTCTTAGCGTGTGTTGTTATCGTCGCTTGGGACTCAATTCTCACGCGTGCGCAGGTGACGACCCTCCCGCTTTAAATAATTACCAACTATCAAACATTTTCTCAACTCTGTTCTTAAACGGACATCGACATCCCGAACAGCGGATATAACGTGACACATCCAGTTGCCCCGACCGGACACGTCAAACACTGCTTTGTAATACATTTCCATGGAAACAAGCGCATGTAAGTAAGCCTGCCACTGTGTACACGCGACCCCCTCGTAGCTCGGATGGCATTGGTGGAAAAAATCCGCGCATAACATGGCCGCTACCACGTGTCCACTTCGTTTATCAATCACCATAAGCGAGAGCGATCTGCAAGTTTCGTTATAGAACACCTCCCTCAACGCCGACAGTGCGAATACTCGTTTCACATCACAGGCGATATCAAGGCTTTTGACAAGAGGGTCTGTCCTAAGAAGCGATTCGACGCACACCTCGAGGGCTTCTGTTCTCAACGCCACTGAGGCATGGTAGAATGGTATCGCCTCGAAATTCTCCATGAGTTTTTCACCGTACCAAACTAAGCTGCCCACTTTCATCCCCGTTGCCATAGTAAACAATGACGGGTCTTTTTCCACGGCAACTCTTAAAACATCTTGAAGCTGAGGAGCATCAACAAATTCGGCTACGTTGATATCAATTCCCTGCTGCCGTAAGAGTCTAACGGTTAGAACGGCGGATTCTGTAATGAACAATTCACATGATGCATAGTTACACTGGAAATTCCATCCAGCTGCTGTCGGGTAATTAGCATATTAGCAAAAGCTGTCTGAGGTGTTCAGTAATGTTATGTTTAATGTGCTACATTGCCTAACTATAATTGTTGGGGGACAATATATTCTCTTCAGCGTAAATTCAGACTTCCGACATGTTTTCAATAGGCGAACCCTCCCATAACTTTTCATTTCCCTCTGACTACAGTTTTTTTTTTTAAATGAGCATACTCACCGTCCGAGGTACCATCAATTTCAAAAAAATTCTTTTCCAGTGGCACACATTCTAGTGGCATTTCTATAACACGCGAGACAGCTTTTCTCACAATCGCTGATACTTCACGGAGTAAGATGTCTGGAAAGAGAAAATAACGTTTGCTTTCGTTAGGAACCAATGGTGTGATTTGTATTACGTAACCACTACTGGTGTTATGAACGTAGCATATTATAGTTAGGCTTGATCACATGGCATCACGACCACATGGCGATTAGATGAAGATCGACTATTTGGAAGGGGTGGGCAAAACTAGTATTTATTGTTCATATAACGTGCGCATATTAATCCTTTTCTTTGTTGTGAATTTAGTAAGGTATGAAAGAAAAAAAAGAAAAATCAGGTGCGAGTCGATTAAAAAACAACTTTGTTTCTCTTTCTGTTTTTTTCTTCATTTCCGAAAGCACGTACATACTTTGTTACTGAACACTGTCCTGTAAAAATAACAATTCCCACCGACACGTTTGTTCCAATGCCAATGTCTGTTTCGTTCGCAGCCGAAACGTCCGTCCACCGGTTGCAATCAATCGCAGCGACGGGATGGACAGGGTTAGCATCACTAGCCCATGGTTGTTATATACATGTAGTAGTAGTTCCCCGGAAATCCATAAATATTACATATAAATTACTGAAATAATACCTTTGGTTTGGTTGTCAGGACGACCCCTATCACCAATTATTTTTCCCATCACGTATACGCGTAAGTCTGGTGGGTAGATGTACGTGAAACAATCGTTATAACGAGGATTGTTCCGTATAGTCTCTGATTTGACGAAAGCTTCGAAGCCAACTTCAGCCGCCACGCATTGTCCCAATGGATGCGTATAGATTCCCGCAATGCCTCGAAATCCGTACATCTCAGCTAGTTTGACCTTTTCTAAAAAAAAAAAAAAAAAAAAAAAAAGGATATACCCTTGAGCATGTGCCCGAGTTTAATAGTATTTTAGAGATCCGAGAGCGAGTGTTGGAGACAATACGTGTTATATTAGTGAAGATTCTAACTACGTGCAAATTAAACTTACCAACCTCCATCAGCTTCAAAAGAAACGCCTTCGCGCGCGGGAACACATCGCAACTAATCGCCGATACCAATTGGAAGATCCATTCACCACAGGTATCCACGCCAAGAATGTTTTTCATTTCAAATTCCATTTCGCCTCGAATTTGTAAATATGCTTCAAGTGCCGGGTACTTTATGGTCGAAGAGAGAGAAGGGTGTTCTTCCACTGAGGCATCGGTGTTTACCGTGACCCCTACGATACTGTTATCGGTTAGATCTCTTATCATAAATGATAAACGATGGAAAACCTTCTTCTCAAACATGCGTTTTACAAACTTAGTGATCGTGTCGCGTTTTTCGGCTACTGACATCTCCATGGCCATGATGAATCGCTCTCCGTAAATTATAGCATCGATACACACTTCTCTAGCCTCAACTAATTCGCTGTTCCCAATCTCATTAAAGGGTACGATTTCATAACCACACGTATCTATGACGAGACCACCAGAATCGAACTCTGTTACTTCAATGTCATCGACAATTACTTTTGATGGGAAATGCCGTTCGCGGACGAGGTCGATAATGCCCTGTAGAGTTTCCGCTTTGAAAAAGTCCTGTATTGAGACACCGTAACCATGGCGACGCAGGTTTGACAAGGCGATGGTGCTTCTTACTGAAACAATCAAATCCAATAAAATGATGCGGAGACAGATAAAATTAATATATGAGAATATCACGTATCGGCACAATATACTATCTCCGGGGGGAAATACAATTACATACTTCGGCTAGGAAATTAAATCACCCCCTCCAGGAATAATGATTCATTTCTCATTTAAAAACAAAAATAATTGTTCGCGTGTTTTTATCATTTTAGTAGAAAACGATTCTCTAAGACAGACCGGAAACGGAAACGAGACAAAAACAAAAGATTTTTCAAGTTAGCGTGGGAGAAATAACGTTGCTAAGTATTATCGTCAAGGAAAGCTATTGTTTAAGCTAGTCTGTGATTGGTTGCTGGCAATGTTTGGGGGATTTTGACCAGTTTGTGACGTAGGCTTGTCTTAGAGAATACTTCTCGCCCAATTCATGCGACCGTGACGTAGGCAACGCGTGTAAAATACATTTTTTGTTTAGAGAAAATTTGAACGGGCATGTGTAACATTGCCGGAATATGTGTCCAAAAAAAAGTATACGCAATTTTGTACAACAATGTAACTACAATAATAATTTTAAAATTTCAGTGTTTCTAAGCCATGTTTTAAAACCAAACACATGCAAATTTAATCTCCACTTCTGTTCTTCAAGAAGAAAAATAGTTTACGATAATTGCTTAATATTGGCATGGCACGATTAAAGATCACTCAATGATAGTTCCCTTCACTAGATGCTAGCATAGAAATACAATATGACTTTCGTTTATTGGTGATTGTTTGCTGACATTTGTGAGTTAAGATTCACTGTCACGATTTCAATATTTGACGAAGTGAGCGAGGCTTTGAACATATATATGCAAGTTTGTGAGTGGAATGGTCAAGCATTTACAACTGCGACAGTTCTACAGCATATTAAACTAATATTTTACATATAAATGAAAAACAAAAGACACACAGCCCGCTTACTAGTATATACTGATTTCATCCTTGTCTGTCTTTGGGTTGAAAGAAATGTTTGAGATAAATCTCACCTGAATTTCCACCAATTTCAAAAAAATTGTCGACAACGTCAATAATGTCGACTGGTAAATTGACAGCATCTGCAACTGACAGCACCACGGCTTCCGTTTTAGTGATTCTCTTTTTCCCTGTCGTGATTTCCGTCTGCACATGATGGTTGTGATCACCGAGGGCGCATTCTCTAGTGTCATCGTCACCCATATTGTGTATCTACAATATAAAACATATATTCTAGTACAACACGAAATTATTATTATTGAAATGAGACAAATTGAGATAGTTCGTCGTCAGAAATACGACCATCATTAATTGTGATGTCGAAATAACTATATTTCACAATATTTGTTTGTCTGTTTGTACCGAAAGTTCGAATAGACATGGTTGAACAATAACAGTAATGCAAAGAAGCACGTCATCCGCAATTATTTTGTGTCGTAAGAAATGCGACCCCCCGATCCTATAATTAAATAAAAAAGAACCTCATAGCAATTTCCCAATACTGTTTAAGGATGGGATAGACACAAATCGGTCATCGGTGCTAACTTTTCCAAATTTGGTATCGCATGGATTTGCGATACGGTGAGTTTTAAATTCACTGATTTAGTTGAGTGGATGTATAAGCGAAAATAAATCGAACGATTTTTAGGGTACGAGTACCATGCCTGGCTACCAATCGCAACGTTGTCATTACTTGTAGTTATCACTATGAAAAACGGTATGTCAACAGTAGCTGGGTCAAGGTTCAACAACAACAACACCTCTTCTGCTCTGTCATTTGCATCTGTTTGATTTCTAATACACCGAATATACGAAATAATTGTTTTATATGGACATACAACCGGGTCATGTTGTCTGCAACGTACGTGGTGGCGAATCAGACACAATTTCCCATATCTTAGTCAATAGTTTGAGTCTGTGTTCCTCCCAATTGTTTCATGTTGTTTGTTCCAGTGTAAGTTCATTGGTCTGTACGTGTGAAACAGGTACGAGAACTGAGCAAATGAATATAAAAACACGCTAGTAGAAAAGACGATGATTCCGATGTTAATTCTGCTTAAATTAAATGATGACATCATCATTTCAGCTCTACGATTATGTCGAGTTCATACGTTTAGTTCGCTATGCCGAGAAAAGGTCACGCGGATTTATACATGTGAACAACCTGTGCCGTACTTTTCCGATTACCATGAGTGAGAAACTAGCATATATGCCAATTAGGTTATTTGGTGTCACTAGAAGTGGGCGGGGACGGATATTTTGCCAATATTGTGAGGTTTTTGCGACATACTCCAGTGACATCGGATCTACAAACACGTAAAACTGGAGGTCGGGTATCACACGTGAACATACCTATATAATTCCGCACAGCGAGTTGCATTGAACTAGGAACCCATATTGTAAGATCGATGGTTTGACAGAAATGTGACGCCTCGTCGTCTGATGAGATTATGAATATGTTCAATATCAGGTTTGTTTAAGATTATTTGCAGGTCAATCAGATTTGAAGGGTGAACCGCGTACCTTTAACTTATCAACATTCCAAAAGTTATATGTGACTGTTTATATTTATTATCACCTTGGAAGTACTGCTAGTTAATATTCATTATGATAACAATATTTATTCCACTGAGGACAAGGGTCATGAGATTAAAAAAATCGCGTGTTTTCTTTTAGATAATGAATATAATCTGAACATCTCTGTAGGGCTCTCGATGTTGTTTGTAACATCTGAGCTGGGTCCATGGCAGCAAATTGGTATGGTATCGGCCACCATCACTAATTAAGAAAGCTCTCATATGATCCAGAAAGGCGTATAGCAAAAAATTGTTTAATCTTTTCGACTCCTTAAAGTTGCCTACAATTTTGGTTAATCCGGGATCTAACTCTCATTGGGAAAACTTCTAATTACGCTTATTCCGAAATTTCTCTGCACATTCAGCCAAATCGTTATAAATATTAAAATTAGCTCTATTCTGTACAAGTTTATTAGGAAAGGTTCCAATAAAGTGGCAAGAAATGTCACGATTGGTAAAATTAGAGACGGGGGCATGATAAATATACTAGATGTATTTGCACTATACGGTAAAGCAATTCAAAGGTAGTGCGATTTAGTATGTCCACATCCATGACAATTTATACTAACCTACTATTTGAAACTCTTAGCGGGCAAAATTATTATTTTTATCCGATTATGGCTCCGAGAACTTTATCTTCGCTTTTGCCATCCTTTTGACGTAATATGTTTTTCAGTTTGTCGTATGTAAACATTGACCACGCCTAAGTTACTGACACTATTACCTGGAGCAACAAAACCATATGCCGAGATTTCATCAATAATGCAATTATTTATGTATCACACAAGCCTAACTAGTTAATATCAAATCATCTACTTTTGTTGTGAGGAATTATCTCCTCTCTCTCAGGCATGTTTAATAAAAAGTTATTAATTTTTAAAGGATCGGAACTACCAATTGGCATTATTAAAGATGATTAGTTTTACTCTCTGAACAATTCAGTTTCACACTAAATGTTTCGTAAATACATTCAATTTGTTTTATAAAAGAAAAACTAAGAAATCTAAGAAATACAAATTCCCAATAGTCAGTGGAGAAGCAATGTTATTAAAGGTTAGGAAATTTCGCTTACAAATGCAGCCTGAAATGGGACAATTAATATGCAAATTAGCTACTTAATATGCAAGTGCATGGTTCTAAAACTAATGTTGTCAGAGTATTACCTCAACTTACCTATGTATCAAATTTGACCAAAACCCGCTCAGAAGTTTTAGAGATTTTGCTCACATAGACAGACTGACAGACAGACGGTCACACAGGCACACCAAGCGCATTACCTTTTATATGTGATTCGCAAACACGGGAGCAAAAAAGAGAGGGATTTTTTTACCGCCTTTATTATGCTAGCTTTTCTAGTTACTGTTAAACGCATGCTCTAAGAGTTTTAATGCAATAGTATTCTGTGTAGAAATGACACTCTCGATAAGATGAACCTTCGAAGGGCTGTGTATATTTTATGAAAATGTGTGTGAAATACGTATTAATATATATAACATATAGCCACCTAACGAATCATGAAAATCTTCTAGTCCATCGATGAATTTGGTACTTAACATCGTTACAAAACTAATGGAATATTTTAATATATCAAAAAAACAAACAAGATAAACTACAGAAATAGGTGGAGAATTTCTTTCGTTTAAACCAAGCCTGTGAATTATCTTTGTAACCGTTCTTCTTTTTCAGTGTCAACTTAAAGTTATTATTTTGTATTGTATAGTATAGCATGAAATAATAAAAATAACAATGTTAAGACTACAAAATACGAATAAAAAGTGTTAAGATCAGTGTCGGGTTTTGTTGAAAAGCTAGGTGACAGGTAACTTAGGATTGTTTACATTTTTAAACTAAATAACTGTGGAAGGAATGGATTCCTATCGTATGTTACTAGTGACCATGCTCTGAATGAGTTGAATTTTCATGACGACTTCTATCACAAAAGATCTTTAAAATGTTGGACGACCACTGTGGCAAATAGAGCAAAAATATACTAGTGCTACACATGTATTCATATGTGTTCATATATATTTTGTTGATTTTAGAAATTTCGACGTTTTTGTGGATTTGGATTTCAGCAAATTTGTTTTCTAAATGTCCAATTAGCCATTTATCAGTTCCAAATGTTTGCTTGAATACAAACTTAAGTGTTAAACTTATGTGGTTACGTTTATTGTCTGTTCCGGGGATCACTGAACTGTTACCATTCTTCTGCGATCCTCAGATGACCATTAAACAAAAGCAAAATTTTCAGTGGCTTACGGCGGCGTACTTTGACCTTCTCTAGGGCGCCCTCTGGAAAGGTCAGTGTCTTTCTTCAACCCTGAGGAATCCAGTTGTATGGTTTGATCGGACTCGGAGCTGTGTGACGAGTACTTCACCTTCCTGTTTACATTCGCCAATCCGCCAGTCGATGTGAAATCGTTTATCTGCAGTACACACTGAGTTATATATTTTTCTCCAAACTTGCATGCCTTCATAACAACAGTGGGATTGTACGGCTGTCTCCCACTACTCCGCTGCGTGCTAGACAAACTCTTTGCCGGACGACGTAAGTATTACGATTTTACACCATTATTATTGCGATGGCGAATACGTTGTGTAAGGCTATACTGCATAGACCTTCATCCAGGGTCTATGATTACCGTTTTGCGTTTTTCAATTGTAGATCAGAAGACATCGATGACGATATTTTCCAGCAATGTTTACGCTTTGTTTCACGTGGTTTGCACACTGCAGGCACGCTGTAGTGTTTTGTGTCATCTATGTGTATAAGGCGCGGACTATTATTTGTTCGGGGGGGGGGGTGCTTGGCTAAAATCATAATAAATATCCCTGATAAATATTAATGTTTGCATAAAAATAAACATACTGTCTGGGAATGTCCTTCACAGATTGAAAAAAAATGGTCAACCAAACAGCAACCAAAAACTATATCCCAGAAATAATTAGCCACCCCGGTTTACATAATGACTCCCCCCTTCTTTAATTTTAAAAAATCATGTGCTGATCTAGTTTTTGTTCTTATTTTCTGAACACACTTTAAATTAAATTAAGTTACTGACAGTGTAGAATGATTGCAAAATAATAATCAGAATTGTTGTATAAGTCTTGGATATTTAATCTTAATCAAATCTAATTAATCTAATAAATTGTGATTTCTAAACATTTCCTTCAATTTGTTTCTTTAAGAAAAAAAGAAACATTCAATAGTTTGAAAAAATGTACATCCGGCCCAATTAGTAAACTATGTGAATGCAGAAATGATATTTTATGCAACTGACTCTGAGTCCATTTTCATTATGTTCCTTAACCTTGTTCCATTTAGTAGTGTTTTTATATGTTATCTTTGATAGATATGGTGATGTGGAGTCTAGTAGCGACAGTCAAAGTATACTGGGATGGCTTGGACACATCGCAACACGTACATTGCTATTGTACTAGGGCATTTATCAAGTGAGTTATCATGAACATTTTGCGTACAAATTACAATGTACCCGTTTTAATTAATCGTGGTTTTCTTTTTTTTAACATGGTGCAATCCTGTACTGCCTGAGTGTATACTTTGCAGTCCTCTCACGATAAACGCCAAAAATGGCAATGAAAAGTGTTTAGCGCTCTGTGGACATTCGCATTCAATGACAGGGTTCTGTTTCCGTCACATGCAATATAGCGCCCTCTACGCCTAATGTAAACAAAGGAAAAGATTTGAATGTGACGTCTGTAATCTTTAACAAGTCAATGTGGGCGACATAGTTTACCCCAAATAAAGGAAAATTTGAATATTTAAATGATGCAGATACATTTTAGAATGAATGCATATACAGCAAATTCTTCTGATTGTCAAGTCATGCTTAGACCTCACTCCCTGTATGTGGCCAATTGAGAAAATGTGTTTATGAAAGTGAATCGTGAGTCATTGTGGAAACAACACAGTACCGGTATGTTTATTTCAGGCATGTTGACGATGTTGCAAAAACATCACTGAGTGCAACTGCAAATTCAAAGCCACTACTGCTATCTACAAACAAGTGATAAATTTCATTGGTTTATTTCAGTGATAGGCAGTTCTGTGTATGGGGCACTGAGGAAGGTGCGTGTATGAAGGAAGACTTGGAAGGGAAGTTATCGATATGCAGCCCTGAAGACTTAGTTGACTTGGAGAAATATCCAAGTAATCAGGACGGAAATAAACCAACCAATGAAAAAGTGAACGACAGTTCTGATTTATCTGATCAGGAAGTGGATATGAAGTCTGAAAAGACAGACCTGGGTGAATCAGATGAACTACTGAATGATAAAGAACATTCAGCCAATCAATGTGGGTGTATTAATGAACATCAGTTTATCAACCCAATCATGCAATCAGCCAATGAAAATCAGTGTACTAATCAAACCAGTCATTCAGCCAATAAACATCAGTGTACCAACTCCACAGTTCTAGTGAACACCAATGATTTAGCCTATGGTTCTCCGGTGAAACCATTCGAAGGTGAATTTATAGGGGAGGAAGATTTGATGTTAAAGATGGGATTACCAGTGACATTCTTAAATTCACCAAGAGATCTTGATGAGGTAATAAAACAATGTTTTTATTATTATTTGTTGACTTGTGAATCTGTTTATTTGTCATTACATCATTGTGTCATCTTCAAATTGTGCTCAATCATTTGCATAATTACTACAAAATAATTTACTCGACCAATCAAAAAATGTTTTATGCTAATTCAACACACATAAATATGTTACGTATTTGGGGTTGTACATGTATTTTTAAATTCATGGATTGAAAGTTGATTTGAATTTACAAAACTTCTTCTGAAACAGAAAGCAAACATTTCCACATTCTACTCTATACCTGAATGAGAAATTCTTGAAGCACAAGTTTCAAACTGACTAATACAATGATGAAAAACGAATTCTTTTTTTGTGACTTAAGGTACCGGTATATGTATATTAGTGATTTATGAATAATAACATTTGTTTGCACAAAATGTATTGCAGTGATAATAGTTCAAATGGAATCACAACATATGGTTTTCCAACATTAAGCACACTTCCATAATTTATTTTTTAAAGGAATCAAGAACAATGCACTTAATAGATAAATTAGGGAAGTCTGAGAGAAAGAAGAAAAAAAGGAGAAAAAGAAGAAATAAAAAATCAAGAGATCAGAGACTCGATGAAGAATATGAGGCTGTCTATGTTGAATCTGGTACTACAAATATTAATAACTGGGAGGAATATTGGGCTGAAAATGGCGAGGTGCTTCTGTGGCAAACTTGGGTTGAGAGGTACCCAGAATTTCAAGAGAGCACTGCCAGAGAGGATGATAATGAAAAGCATCTGTATGTGTCTCCAGATGAACTAAAAAATGATGATCTAGAGAAACTTTCAAACTTTGAAGTAAAATCTGGTGAATTAAGGAACAGTGATTTGAGAAATGAGGACCAAATAAACCTAGAAACTAGAAATGTTGAAAAAACAAACTCTGATATCTTAATATCTGATGAAAATCTTCTGGTAGAAGAGAAAGAGAAGAACAGAGATGTGGAATTGTTACCATGGAAACTCCATCCATGTGAAAATGAGAAATGGAAGACTAAATGGGAAGAGCATTTTTCAGAACAGTACTGGTATTACCATCAGTGGTATGATGAGTGGATGAGAACTCAAGAAACTGACCAATCAGGTTGTCCAGATCAAGCATGTGATCAAATGGGCCAATCAAAAGATGTGTTAGAAAGGTTGACATTCGTTGATGAATCGATTCAAGATGAGGAAAGATCATGTGACCTACTGTATGATGTAATTAACCAATCAGAGGAGAGTTCAGAAAATTGTGTCATGTTTAACGAGAGTCATGAACTCCATATAAAAAACTCTGAACATGGAGCAGCGCATCTGAAAGAAGGAACATGTTTGCTGTCATGTGACATGTCATGTGACAACCAATCAAACAAACAAGAAACTACAGTGGATACTGAGCATGCTCAGAATACAAAAAAAAATCAAACACTTGAATATCTGCCGAATAATCAACTTGCCAGCCAATCGGATAGCCTGTATTTAGACACTGCAGTGGACACTGAGCATGCTCAGACCTCGCTGTCTGAATGTATCCAGTCAGAAGGTGTTTGCGAAAGCGAACCGTTAGATACTCCTGGATCTGTGCAGTATGTTAGTCACATGGATGATGATATTTGTGCAAAATTGAATGATGATATGAAAAATATTGATATAGAAGAAAAGACGAATGATTTGAAAACTGATGTGTGTTACAATGAAAAAAACGGTGAGCCATACGATGGAAATTCAAAGAATGGAAATGGTGAGGAGAGTCAAATAACAGGTAAAGAAAAGTTTGCATGTAATATTGTAATATTGAGAAACACTTACTCAAGTTCATCCACCTCTAAACTAAACTCTAATTCTAACACTCCAGCCCCCCAAATGTAATTGTATATACCCCTCCAGATAACTATAAATGTCCTGAAGAGGGGCATATACAATTAAAAATGGGGGAAGGGCATTAGGGGCAGGAATAGGATTGTGGATGAGGGCGCCTTAAGGAACTCATGCCCAGTACTGTTGCGGGCCTTTTGTTTGCTTGAACAGAATGAGTTAGATTATTGCTGTTTTCAAAACCTGAGACAACACACTAACTAATTCACTCACTGATTTATATTAGCATTTCTAGAAATTTATGTTTTCAAAAAAAAAAAATTTTCAATTTATATCTTGCAATAAAGATTTAATAGTAATAATAAAAATAATAATATGTTTATAAAAGTAACAAATAATATTGAAGTATAATATCGCCATGCGTTGCTAAGCATTTCAGTTCAAAATGCTGATTTTTCTTATGTCATGTACACGTACGTTGACTTACTACTCTCGTAATTATTGAAGGCTCTACCCAGTCTCAGTCAAACGTTGGTAACACAAATACATCAGTCAGAAATCTGCACCACTGTGAAAGGTCATTGAAAGGTCACAGTGATGAAGATGACAGTGATCCTCCAGAAGATCTACCAATCAAATACAAACGCAGGTAATTAGTTAACTCTTTCACTTTTTCAGGGGTTTTGCTAAGTCCTGGAGTTTGTGATTTAGGATTTAGAAAGTAGAAAGCCAAACATTTTTTTTAGTTTCATAAAGTTGGTGAAAGTTATCTTAGATACTTTCTGTTTTAGTTCAATAAGAATGAAGTCATCAAAAGTATTTACAAAATGATTTCTTGATCAGAATCAGAGATTAAAGTTGTCCACCATTTTTAAAAATAATATTTATATTTTGTTATCGCCTTTAGTCATGAGCTGGACCCGGACGAACTGCAACGACAGAAAAAGAAAGTTTACAAAGTTCTTGGTTTTCAAGCAGACTCACAAGCAAAAAAGCAAGTATGACAGACATCTGTAGTCTACCATCACTGTACCGTAATCACCATTGATACAGTGAAGTTTAATTACGTAGTCTAACACACGACTAGATAATCATGAAGATTTGTTACTCTATTCAACATCTGATGCCATTTATATTTATCATATTTGTTTCATTAGAAACAGATGTAAACAGTTGCATGTATTGTGTATTGTATTATTAAACATTATTAGTCCCCGTTCGGAGACAGTCTGTAAACATCTGTGCATGTCCACCTCTATTTCGGATATGCCTGCGTGGATCACAATCAAACTTTCAACATACTGTAAAACAAGTCTTTTTCTCGGGCATGTCTTTTTAGCGAATTTAGCAAGAGAACTGATTCGCTAATCCAAGATGTCGCTAATGACTTTATTCTAAATTCAAAATGGCCAAGGCTTGGGGATTTGTATACATAAAAATCTGGGGCGCTTCCTAATTACACTTGACATTTTTTCTTTATTTTAATGGAGGCGATAACTGCGCATTTGTTTTGGCACAAGACAGACAAGTATTGTGAAAACAGGAAATCAACAATGACAAGAGAGATTCACTAAATCAACATTTCGCTATTACGTCATTTTACCACAATTTGCTAAAATTGCATGTCGCTTTTTCAACATGTTTTACAGTATATCATACATCTTTGGATATATATATATGCACATCCATTCGTTTAACGATCTGATTCAAGATGGCCGAATGGTGGACATCTTTATGCTTGAAATTCATCAAAATCAAGTATTTCTGTCATTCCGGATCCAGATCTCGGTTGTGTATGGATGGATTTTGTTCCAACTTTGATCCACATTTTGATTTCCATGTGTGCGTGTGCATCTCCATCTGTATCTCTGACATGCCTGGTCCAATCGCATTCAAACTTTGCAAATACATTGCATATGTTGCACTGCATATGCATGTCCATTTGCTTCATTGTCTGTTTAAAGATGTCTATCTCAGATTCCAATCAGTGGCGTGCACTGATATACACATGGAAGTCAAAAATTTAGGTCCATCACAGATAATAATGTCTAAATGAGTCCTGTGTTACTGAGTTAGGACCTGTATGGTTAATATTATTTAAATAAGTTCTGTGTCTATGTTAGGACCTGTATGGTTAATATTATTTAAATAAGTTCTGTGTCTATGTTAGGACCTGTATGGTTAATATTATTTGAATAAGTTCTGTCTCTAAGTTAGGACCTCTTCGGTTAATAGTATCTAAATGAGTATAGATTTTTAAATAACAATTATAATTTTTTTATTGATTGTATTTTAGTTATTCCGGCCTGCCAAACGTGAAATGTGTCAATGCCAGATATAGGGACAAAACAGTCAAAAAGAAATCTAAGAAATTAAAAAAGAAACAAAAAGCAACGAAATTAGGTAATGATGACAAAGACCTAAATACCAGAGAAAGTGATGCACTACAAAATGTCAAAAAGTTCTTACTATCTGCTGATGACCAGAATGATATTGAAGCTGATACACTTGGATCACACCATATTGTAGAAGGGGGTGTTGGTGTACTTGAAGAAGAGATTTCTAGTGATTCCTGCAATAGTAGTGATGAGACGAATTTGATTAAAAGCATAAAGGGACAATGTCAACATGAATATTTGAACGATTTTACTGAAAATTTTGCTATGGGAACTGGTCAGCAGAGTCCTAGAAATAACGATGAAAAATCTAATGATATCATGGGAATTGAAGAAAAATTACTGAATGAGACACCTAGTGAAGGGAGTAGACATGTTGCCAAGATACCAGATGAGCTGAAGGATGATCTTGATATTCAGAAATATTGGGCTCAGAGGTATCGTTTATTCTCTAAATTTGATGACGGTATAAAGATGGACAGAGGTGAGTGTGATGTGATAGCATGCATATAAAAACATTTCATATTGTAATAAACAAAAATCATATTTTCCACCAAAAATTTTTAAAATATTTATTCATTTTCGTTAATTTTGGAATAAATAGATGTAACTTTATATTGGCTACAGTTCCTGTTCAAAATTTTAGAAAAAATTTCGGAAAAAGTTGGTAGATTTATTTCATGAAAGGTGACAAAAATGGACTTTGGCGTTCAAACAGTTAAACTCAGGTTTTTACAATTTTAAGTTTTTAATTTCAGATCCTAATTTTGACTCACAAATTAAAGATGATTTTTACTTCTCCATTTATCACGACTTATACCACAGCTGTATTAATATAGCATATGGTGCTGTAACCTAGATATGACATGATATGACCGGTATATGAAATGAAATCTAGTGCTCAGAATGGGCAGCAGCTTTACAATTCTATTCAGATTGTCTGCGCACCAATCAAAGTACTCCCAGTATGACTGGTGTTACACTTAATAGTTAATTAATTTGCACATATTATGATTTCTGTTTTGTACTCAACTTCACGATTTGAAGACTTCATCTGTAAAGACAAAATTTCATGAATGTCTGACTCTGTGTCATACAACCCTAGAGAAATTGTCACTACGATAAAATCTATATTAAAAGCTGCATCCCTAATAGAAGCCATACCCATTCTTTTTGAAAAATTGAGAACCAAAACAAATTCACCATTTCTCATATGTATAGATGCTCTAATAGAAGCCTCTGTTGCATTGTACCGTTTTAATAGAAGCCACAGTTTCTGATACAGATTTTACAGTACAACAGAATTAGTCTTTCACAATATTAAACCAAATTCACTACGTTCAATTACCCACCATAGACTCCGGTCAGTCAAAATGACTATTTTGAACTGTAGGCATTAATCAGCAATTCTGCCGGTGATGGAGCGATAGAATCTAGGTCAGGGGAAGCCCCATGACTCCAAGATTCTCTTTCCCTTACGTCACGAACCACGTGACCGAGGCCATATGGCAGTGCCATTAACGGCTGTACAATCACACTTCTTTCATCTCTGCCTCGCCGGGAATGATTCTGAGTGGCTCTGCCTGGCTCTTTTGCTTTTTCCTGTCCGGGTTTCTAGCTTGGGTTGTTGCCGCTGGGCGGCATTCGACATTCTTTCTTGTCTTCTTTACCCTCGTGTTGTTTTCCCATTTGTGTGTAATATTTTTTTCCACAACAAAGAAATTAAAACCCGACGGCACTACGTAACCACTTGTTTGTTTCATGGCGGCACCTTTTACTACTGTAATTCACTTCCCTAATGCATGTCGTCTTCATTTTATGCTTGATCTATGTATTTAGAAATGAATAGATGTAATGACAGCACCAGGGCTCGCTGCCGTTTTTTTTTGGTCTCTTCGTGTTTCGAGTCGACTGTGCAGTGGTTATATTCAGAATTCACCAGCATAGAACCCGCATCCGAAATACTTAGCTGCGTGCGGGGTTCGGGTTTTTGCCGTGAAGGCGTGTGTTTTTCACTGGAGTTCTGAGTCCTGAGATTTTTCTTTCAGAGCCATCAAAATCGCCGAGACTGACCGCGTCGCTCATTTATCTTCACAGCAAGGTCGCACGTCCAGTAAACAAATCAGTTAAAGTGAGTGCGTGTTTGGCATGAGTGGAAAGTCCTCACGCTCGGCTACCGGTGCTTTGTGTACCGGGACACCAAGTAGGAGGCCCGATGGTGGAGGTACCGATATTTTTTCTCGGTCTCCCCCCGCTGATCGAAGGGCATCCTCACAGTCTGTTTTTTCAGGCGGTGGTTTACCCAATTTTACCGGCTGCAGCGAGGCTGTGCCCCTGGAGGCTTTCCTCCTATGGGGCCCATTGCGGGTCTCTTTGTGGACCCTTCCTCGCACGGAGCCGGGTTTGCCTCCGAGTTGAGGGCTTTGGTCGAATTGCGTCCATGGCAGGCCAGGTAGATCAGACGCAGTCGGAGTTAGCTGTCTCCACTGCAGTCCCTCTATGGGCAAGCAGGAAGAATGTTTGCATTCAAACACGTCTCTTCCAGGGAACCTGCGTTCCCAGTCGCGCTCTCCCACTTATTTGGGTGAGGCCGAGGCTCAGGCTACTTGCACCGGGCCTCCTCTGGAGCCTCGGGCACTGAATGCCAACGGGGTGCTGGCAGCCAAGCTCTTGGGGCAGGGCTTTCAGGGTTTGTTGTGCGGTAACGGTAAAACGGTAACGAATTTATCCCTGTGTCCGGTCTCGGCTGTGGGTTTTGACTCCCTTCTTACCGACCCACGGGTGTCCCCAGAGGGAACCGACCCTGTCATGAAACGCACAGTCGAACACTCTCCCTCTAACATATTTAAAGTGAAAGGTGACACAGTTCACTCGCGCCGGATACAGCCGGTACTCCGGGCGGTCCCTCAGAGTCTTCCATCTGTAATGACTCAGTGAGCCACGCTTTTGGGGTGATGCGGAGTATCATCGATCCAGTGATACGATGTAAATACCCCCACCCTTGATCCTAAGGCGACCACCTAAGGTTGCTTCAACGCTTATGGGATCACGGGCGTCGGGATCCAAAGCAACCCCTTCGGCACGTCTCTCCCTGTCCGCCTGAGTGCGAAGTGGGTCGCAGGACACGCAAACGGTGTTGATGGGTGAACGTTGGTCAGCCGTGGAGAACGTAACGCTTAAGGCCCCCGGATGGGGAAAACCTTAGGCAACGCTGGACCAAACGCTACTCGGTCGGTGTGGTTTCGGGATCAGACCCCATAGCGTGGGATGAGACCAAAACGCCCCCAACCGGATCCCAAGGCTCCTTCCACAGACCCCGGTACCACGAATTTCCGTTTGGCAAACCGGGCAAAGGGGGACAGCCGTGTTCCATGGGCGTTCTCGCCAGCTCAATCGAAGACGACCCATCCAGCCCTGAGGGCAGAGTTGCTTGAGTGCATTAGACCTCAGAGGCATAACACACCAGCCTCCTAGACCAGGCGACACATTTACAGGCGGGCCACCGCACATCTACGTGCGACATCCCCGAGTGTCACCTGGCTCTCTTTTTTGTATTTAAAACATTTTTATTGAGTCAATTTACATAAACACTTTACATAGTTATGTATGTGTACCAAAAAATTACATTGCACAACAAACAAGTACAAAGTCTCCACAAAAATATTACAATTTTTTCAGGTAGTCATGTTGATATGCTAGGTCGTTGCTTACAATTTT